CCCTACACTGTTTCCCTTGTCAGGCCTATGTTGCAAGGTATGGCACATAGCTAAACTGAAAGAAAAGAGCAGTCCCCCGGTATCTCTGTCCTGCTCGCTTAATGCAGTGTGCCGGCACTGCCATGAGCGCTCGGAGCTGCCTGGCTCCCCCGCTGGCACAGCAGCCGCTCAGCAGCAGCAGCAAAGCTCTTGGGGCAAACAGCAAAACCTGCCTGAATGCAGCATGCGGCGATCTTTCTCCTACTGCAGCTGCTGCGCTGCTGAAGGCAGTACAGGGATGTCTCACACGGCAGGGACCAGGTGTAAGCAAACCCCATGTCATCTACGGTGTCCTGAATTTTTAGACATGGTATCCCACTTGGTTGGTTTTCCACTGGCTCACTGAGTTCTAAATTGAGGAAATAAAAGCAACATAAACAGGGTAATGTAAGTGTATAGCACTGTCATGCTCCTTTAAAGCAACCGTAACTTTCAACACGCCCAGCTCCTGTGTGGGATAGCTTAATACGTAGGCTCTAGTGCCCTTGCAATCCTGCATCTCCCCCAGCAGGACCCGGCTGTGTCTAGGTAACTGCTTACTGAATGTCTGTCTACCAGGTGTCGCCCATTGTGGATCTGGTGAAGAATGTGCCATGTGCCGTGACAAAACGTCGCAACCTGAGGAGAGCCCTGAGAGAGTACTCGGGCAGGTTTGACCCTTGCCAGTGTGCCCCATGCCCTAACAATGGCAGGCCTGTGCTTTCTGGGACGGAGTGCCTCTGCCTCTGCCAGGCTGGCACCTACGGCAAAAACTGCGAGACGCGAGCTCCAGGTTACAAATCAGGTATTTGAGGTGATAGTGTCATGGTGTTATGGTGGGTTGATCTTGGTTGGAAGCCAGGTGCCACCAAGCTGCTCTACCACTCCCTTCCTGAGTAGGATTGGGAGAGGAAATAAGATGGAAAAAACCACATGGGTCAAGATAAAGGTAGTTTAATAAGCAGAAAGCAAAGGCCGTGTGTGGAAGCAAAGGAAAACAAAAGTTTTATTCTCTGTTTTTATCCTCTCCTCCCCAACAGCGGGCAAGCCCCAGCCACTTCCCAGGAAGTAGGACTTCAGTATGCACACTGGTTGTTCCAAATTCCAGCAGATAAATGCCATAAAAAAAGAAAGCTGCCCCTGCCTTCCTTTCTCTTATCTTTCACTGTTGAGCTGACGTCATATGAATCACAGAATCACAGAATCATTAAGGTTGGAAAGGACCTTTAAGATCATCAAGTCCAACTATCAACTCAATACCGTCATGCCCATTAAAGCATGTACTGAAGCACCACATCCACATATTTTCTGAACACTTCCAGTGATGGTGACTCCACCACCTCCCTGGGCAGCCTGTGCCAATGCTTGACCACTCTCCCCATAAAGAAATTTTTCCTAATATCCAATCTAATCCTCCCAGGCCGCAACTTGAGGCCATTTCCTCTCGTCCTATCACTGGTTTCTTGGGAGAAGAGACCAACACCCACCTCGCCACAACCTCCTTTCAGGTAGTTGTAGAGAGCAGTGAGGTCTCACTTCAGGCTCTGCTTCTCCAGATAAAACAACCCCAGTTCCCTCAGCCATTCCTCGTAAGTCTTGTTCTCCAGACCCCTCACCAGCTTTGTTGCCTTTCTCTGGACACGCTCCAGCTCCGCAATGTCCTTCTTGTAGTGAGGGGCCCAAAACTGAACACAG